TACTTTTTATCCTGCACTATTTAACTGTACAGTATATAACTGCACTACTACATATATTTTTTTTTGACTGGTATTGAAGCATTTTCAGCATCTACAGCTAGTTATGTTAGTTTAGAAACATAGCTACTACTTATTTGTATATAGTGTATATATTGTGTGTGATCCCTGTGTGCTCTTACTACTGTCCTATACGTGCGCTGCAACATCGAAATTTCCCCACTGTGGGACGAATAAAGGAATTCTTATCTTATCTTATATACACACGTCATTTATTTTGTGCCCATATTATGTGTTATATCTTTTTAATGCAAAGTCTGATATTGTTTACACTTATATATAAATGTAGATGATAAAACAAGCTTTAAAATGATATATAGCTTGTGGGTTATGAAGTTCAAAATACTTCTGCTATTGCCAGCAGATGTATATTTTTTTTCTTGCTTAAGGAGTTAAGGACAAATATGATGCATTAATTCTGTTTCTTTTGTTCCTGTTTCATGTGTTTGTGTTTTTAATGTGTTTTCACTAGGGCTGTTAAACGATTAACATTTTTAATCATGGTAATTACAGCATAAAAATGAATTAATCGTAAATAATCACATTTTGATCCATCTGCAAAATTATGCCATATTTTTCTTTGGAAGGTTGTTTGAATGGAAAGATAAATGACAGCATAGTGTACATATGAAGTGTATTTATTTATTATAACAACAATAAATCTACATGAAATGGCATTAATATTATTCACATTCTGTCTTTCTGTAGTAGACAGAAAGACCTGTAAAAAGAGCAAAATAAGGGCCTGTAACTGCATACACAGCAAAATAGCCCAAAAGACGTAAAAGTGAGGAGAAGAGGGAACTAAGAGCGAAAAAATTATCAAAGAAGAATTCAGGCCCGGGTGAATATACGTAGCTAACATAATATTCTCGCTGAGACCTGCGGGAGCCGCCTCGCACTACATTTGAACGCAAAACTGGTGGTAATCTTCTTACAGTTATTGTACTGAATATTTTGTTAGCAGTGTGTTGTTTTTGTCCCATTTCATCAGTGATTTTTATACAGCTTATAAGAAGTTGTGCTAAGCTAACGTTTGCGTATGTATCAGATTGCTACTAAAACTAGATGCCCCCGTGGGAGGAGAGCGTAGGGAAGAGTAGGAGGGCTTCTCCAAATGAGACGGCTGGGAGCGGCACTTCTTAAGCTGTGTTCAGACCGCCAACGCTGGAACGCTGAAGCCTCGCTCACCAGACGCACATTCTCTAGTTTTCAGACGCACGGGACTTCACACCAGAACGTCATGGCCAGCGCCGGAAGTGGCGGAAGTAGCCGGCGGACTTTGACTAACGGAGTAAGCTAGCGAGTTTTTGTGGTAAGTTTGTCTCCAATAAGGCAGCTTTGCAGCGTCTCTGTGTTCAGAGACCTTCCAGGGACTTTATATAACAGCAGTATGTGTTCACGGAGGTGCGCAATAAGTTTATTTTAATATTAAAACATTGACAGTCAACGCAACGCATGATCCGGTCTGAATGCTGCATCAGACGTGCAAGGACTAGGAGGAGCAGCCGCCACCGGGAAGCGTGAATGTAAGAAGCGGGGTAGAGCAGGATGAGGGATGGAGACAGACGATGGGGTCCCAGATTGCCGTGTCATGAAGTGTGGATGCGTGCTGTGAACGTGTGAATGCGGACAGTGATATGTGCTGTGATTGTCTGAATGAAATGTCCATAAAATATTTGAGAAGTTTCTCTCTGTTTCTGAGTTCTGTTGAGTTTGGTGATGTTGATTTGGAGCTCTTTGGGTGTCATTGCGTGCACTGGCTTTATAGGGAGGACTGAAACAAGCTGTGATTCATAAATTTCTTTGTATACATTTGGTGGGGGAGGTGCGGTGTCCATGGTTGTTTGCTGCCTGTCCCTGTTAAAAGTCCGATATGTAGTCCTGATAAAATGACAGCAATCCTGATTGCGAACAACTGTTAATATCCACTTATTCCAACGTGTTTGCTTGATAAAAACAAGGATAAAAAAATTTTATGCCATGCTTTTGTTCTTCATTTGTGTATGAACAAATGTTTGTTACTTAGTCGTGGCGACCTTCATCATTCACAATGAAGACACAGAGTCACTAACTGAGGCACTGAGTCTACTCAAGGATAACAATCCTAACTGGAAACCTAAGAACATGATGGTGGACCACAGTCTGCCTTAGATAAATGCTTGCTTTCCAGGTGATTAGAGAAAGTTCAGATTTCTATCAACCAATAGGAAAATAAGGCAGCAAATTTCTAATGCAGAAATTTATAAATTTTCCGACCAATAGAGTTGTGGTTTTAGATGATCAGAATCTCTTTCTATCAGTTCTAACCAGAGAATACATGATTAGTTCAATGATGGTTTGAGTTGTAATTTGTATTTACTGGTGGAAATATTCCTACATCCTTCCTGTAAAAATCACTCAAATGCCCATTGTGGATTATTCAATTATACATTATTTATTTCAACATGAAATGCTGAATTCAGATGGCATACTACACAATTAATTGTACATGTTTTTTCCAGGTACAAAGGTGTTGATCTGTGATTTCCACAGAGAGAAAGTCTTGAATAAATGGATAAGCAAGAAATATCATGGACTGTCCCACCTGAGTAAGGAAGTCCTCAGTTTTCTCAGAAATATACAGTAGCTGGCAGTCCCACACAAGATCTCTACAATCATCATGCTACTCTACTCAAATCTTCAACAATTTGGGAAGAAAATGAGGAGTTCAGGAATTATTTTGAGAAAACCTGGGAAATTCAGTGTGAGGTAGGTTTTCTCTAACTATTTTAGATTGTATCTCATCCCTGTTATTAGGTGTTGAATTATTGAATGTAACTCTCTTCATCCGTATGGATATCATTTTGATGGCCTAAAACTTAGAACGCACTGCTGCTACAACCTGGTACAATGCATCTCTCCTTCTGGCTAATGTTTATTGTACACTGTCCCCGTAAAAATAAAAACCATACCATACCATTGTTTTATCTCTGTATTTTCAATTGAAATCGGAAACTTTCTTTTGATGCTACATATTCTTTCAGCGTTGGGCCCGTGCATTTCGGGAAGAAAGTTTCTACATTACCATTCACACAAACAAGGGTATCGAAAGGCAAAATGAATGGTTGAAGGCGTCATATCTGGCAGGGCAAAAAAAACTGCAGTATAAAGGTGCTTTCAGACCAAAAGCTTCAAAAAGCTTTTGACGCGCGTCAACTCACGCCGGGTGATTTTTTGGTGCTTGAAGCTCCTGACACCGGTGGGAGGAGCTTCTCTGTTGCCGGTAGTCTGGACAACGGTGAATTTTCCAGAGAGCAGCGAGCCTTTATTTGGTTTATAAAGCCAAACAACGTTGTCGTGGGGTTTCTACAAAACGTGTTCTGGGTTCACCACCGACTTTAGAGGCTGCAGTGTTTGCTGAGTTTCACAGTTTATTCCAGGAGCTGCGCACGGAGGAGTTTCGCTTTCAGCTTTCTCCCCGCCTGGAGCTCCCCTTATCCGGCCTGGAGCTAGCCTCGCTCTCGCTCGCCTCTCCCTGCCTGTAGGTAGCCTCGCTCGCCTCTCCCTGCCTGTAGGTAGCCTCGCTCGCCTCTCCCTGCCTGTAGGTAGCCTCGCTCGCCTCTCCCTGCCTGTAGGTAGCCTCGCTCGCCTCTCCCTGCCTGTAGGTAGCCTCGCTCGCCTCTCCCTGCCTGTAGGTAGCCTCGCTCGCCTCTCCCTGCCTGGGGCTAGCCTCGCTCACCTCTCCCTGCCTGGGGCTAGCCTCGCTCTCGCCTCTCGCTCGCCTCTTAAATAAATAAATTACGTTTACTTCACAGTATGTGTACGTTGATTTTGTTACTCACTTATGAAGAACGTTAGTACTCATACAAATAATGTTGCTAATAACACTAATGACAATAAAACAGCAGCAGCTACATGATTTCCTTCCATGACAGACCTGTAGCTGCGGTGTGAAAGCCCCTTTAGTGAGCTTGTTACAGCACTAGTGGATCGGTTTATCCCAGATACCTTTAGAAAGTAAGCGCTGAACATTTTTCTTGTAAAAGAGAAAAATGTACACACTATAATGATGTTTCTTTTCCAGATATCAACAGTGGTTATTGGTTCTCTATACCAGAACCAGTAACCACTAAGCCAAACCCTAAGATCAGACAAACTACCAGGTTGAAAGAGAAAGCATCCATCTGACCGAGAAATGTGCATCATGTTCCATCAGAACGGGGGGATTGACTCAATGTACCTCATCCATGATGAGCAAATCCTCCAAAATAATCAAAAGAAATGTCAAGAAATGTTGGGCAATGTGAGGAGATGTGTGCCAACCCTGAATAAGAATCTAAGAGAGAACAAGTCACCAAGGAAGGAAATGACTCCTCCCTCTAAAAAGCTTGGTAAGATACCTCTGAGGTTATTTGGGAGAAGAAAACACAAGTCTATCTAAGTATACGAGGCAGAAGAAATGAAGACAATATTCAAGGTGCCACATTAAATTGTATGTGTATTTTTAGTCCTGTTATATATGAATGTATGAATGAATAGCACCTTCTTAAAAAGTGCATTGTGATATTTGAATTAAATGCCATTTGTATTTTGAGTGTTGTTGTTACAGTACATAAATGCTTGTAGGATGTAAGAATGACTCAAATACTGTACATGTACACATAATCTTAGATAGTGGAAAAAACAAGTTTACTGTTATAATAATAGTGCTGCCTTTAAAGGAAACTCCGGCTATAACAACAAATAGTTTTAAAATGACTACTACTAACCTCCGCTACTAAAAAGTGTCATTATGAATATATAATAGTTTAGTTTTAGTCAAATAATTGTTTGTTTGCAACATAAATTGATAACCGGTGGCTGCCATGTTTTTGCGTGTGCAATGCATTCTGGGATGATGACGTAGATTGGTTGCTACCCGACAGTTGTGTGTACAGTGCTGCTACCATCTTGCGATCAAAATGCCACATTGCGCTGCTTTTGGCTGTAATTTTCAGTCCAAAGGCAATAAAGGAAGCGAGGTAAGCCTTCACAGCTTCCCCAAGGAGCCAAAATTGAGGATACTTTGGGAGGATTCAGTTGAAGAAGACGAGCTTCTCAAGGACCCGCGGTTGTTTTCTCGCCATTTTAGCTCCAACGAGTTCGAGGCCTTTCACCGTCCGCAGCTAATGAAAGAGCTCGCTGGTGCTTCTGGATACAAGCGACGGCTAAAACCAGACTCAGTGCCAACAATTTTTTCTCACAAAAAAACAAAACGCCCGCGAGTGACGAGTGAGAACCGGGTAAAAAGTCGTGAACGACGGGAGGCGTTGGACACGTACCTGGGTCAGCCCGCCTCTCCTTTGACAGCAGCTCCCAACAATTCACAGCACGACTGCGAGCCCGCATTGGAGGAGGTAAACACTGCTACATGGCCTTCAACCCTCCTGACCTCCGTAAGTGTGCAGTGTTTACCGATCGTGTGTGATGCCTCCACTCAAACGGAGATTAGCATGTCTGATGCGGCTGTCCAGTATGAAGCTAATGCTAATGTTCATGTATCTGCCGCGGACCCCAACTACTCTGGTGAAGGGGACATCGACTTGGATGGAGATGGTGACTGTAACTCAGAAGATCTGTTTAGTCCTACGCCTGATGATTCCAGTGTCAGTCAGCCCCAGTGCAGTCAGTCGGATCCTGATTTTGTTGAAAGTTCGTCATCACAATTGACTGACTCCCAGATGTCCACCAACACTCCCACAGCCAGAGTATTTTTAGTTTTTGAAGATCAATTATTCAGACGATGTGTCAAGTATGGGTCTCTAATTGCTGAAGAAGATGTCGAACTACAGAACGAAGGTTCCCAGCTGACACTTGAGGTCACATGTGCTAACAGCTGCAGTTACCGCTGGCGAGCTCAGCCAGCTCTGAGTGGGACCAAAGGGGCCGGGAACCTGCTTCTAACTACATCCGTGTTCTTCAGTGGCATCCATTTTGCAAAGTTTGAGTGGTTTTGCTGTAACATGAAGCTAAAATCCATTAGTGAAGACACGTAGGCAGCACTGAGGAAGACATTTTTGTTTCCTATCATCAAGAAAACATGGATGAGAGAGAGGAATGCAATGATGACAAATCTAACGTCACAAGAGGTGGTACTGTGTGGAGACGGAAGTTGTGATTCACCAGGCCAAATACTGCACATACACATTTCACAGAGCAGTAAGGTTGTGGACTTCAAAGTTGTGAGTGTCACCGAAGTGCCCAACTCCAATGCCATGGAGCTGCATGGATTTAAAGAGGTTCTTAAAACAATTGAAGAAAACGGAGTGCAAGTTTCTACAATCTCTACTGACCGTCATCCTCAAATTGTTAAAGAGATTAGAGTAAATAATCCTGACAAAGTCCATGAATTTGACCCGTGGCATAAGGTGTTTTTAAAAGCTGACAGCAGAATCAAAGAGAAGGGGCTGTGAGGACCTTAGTGCATGGATTCCATCTGTCATCAACCACCTGTGGTGGAGTGCCCAGACCAGTGAGGAGGATGCTGTGCTGCTGAAGGAGAAGTGGGTGTCAGTAATACACCATGTAACCAACTGACACGACTGGCCAGGGAACAGGCTCTACCACTACTGCGGCCATGAGCCCCTTGATGATGAGAGCCAAAGAAATTTGCTGTGGTTGAAACCTGGAACTGAAGCTCACAGTGCACTGGTGAAGATTGTGACAGACAAGCGGCTCCTGAAAGACCTGGAGCATCTCACAAAGTGCATCCACAACATTAGTGGTATAATATTTTCCTTTTGTATCAATGTACTTTCAAGTGCTGGTAAATAACTAAAATAACCAACATTTCTGTTTTAGGTGTACCACTCCATGTACCTGAAGTATCTCCCAAAGAGAACTCATTTTGGGTATGATGTGATGGTCCACGCCTCCATACTAGCTGCTCTGGATCATAATAACAATGTGAACAGGGAGCAGGTTAATAAACTGTTCTTTTTTGTTGCAATTTAGGAACATTCAAGGGAGAACTATTCGAGTGATTTGTGACGAATAACTGAGATTTTATGGGATTGTATATTATAATTCTAAATCAATTTAAAACATTTAGGATTCTATAACCGCTTAACCTATTCCTGCCACCTGAGCTGTGTGGATTTTCTCTAGTTAAAATTGACCCAAATCTAAAATCCTCTTGATTCGATAGCCTACAAAACTACAAAATATTGATAGTAACTTTTTGTCAAATTGTTGCAGTATCTTGTATATGTTTTTTGTTGATTTTTCATCCTAGTATGATCTTGGATATGGATATAGATATTGACCCAAATCGTTTTGTGTCTGAACAGGCTGTGTACCAGGAAGGGGAGAGTGTTGGTGAACCCAAGTACAAAATCGCTTACAGCAAAGTTCACAAGACCTTCAGAGCAAGACCAGTGGCTGTCGGGAAGGACTACAGCTACATGAGAGTGATGGTGGCTGACGTACTCTCCTCTGTCAACGATACGAGGGACTTGGGCCCAACACAGAACGCCGCACATGTTATGGCTCCACAGGAAAGACTATCCAGAGCACAAATTATCTTGCAGTCACGTCAGTTTTCAAGGTTCAAGTAGATAGATCCATGCATGTAAGGTATGAAGAAGATGACATAGTCTGGGATCGCGTCTTAAATTCAGACAGAAGACATGTTTTATTGTCGATGGTAGAGACAGCACGAACAAAGCACACGATCACAGATACAACAGAATGCAAGTGTATTATACAGAGCGGAGGCATGGAGACCTCCAATCAGCAGCTTCCACAGTGTGCTTGTAGCTTGGCCTTCAGATAGACAAAACAAGGGAAAAGTACTGGCTTCTGCACATTGATAGAATGATGAGTTCAACTTTAACAAGTTGCTTCAAAGTGTTATGAAATCTCACAAGTACATCTAGGAACTTTACATTATATATTTTGACAGTGGTACCACTGCCACCTTTTTCAGAGGGTTCACCAATTTGTGTGTGACATGTCTTATTTCAGCTGTGGATCCACTGCCAAAACATTAAGGTAAAGTGAATGGTTATATTCAAGAGGAGGAAATGAAGATGACTATTATTGTATGATTTCTGTAAGAATTTGGAAATGAGTCTGTTGAATTTCTTTTGGTTACTGTGCATGTAAATTGAAATATAAAGTGAGCTAAGGTTTGACTTCATAAAATATAACAATTAGCCTTCCTTGGTGTTGCATGATTAGCTTTACTGCAACTGTTTGTGTTTTCCACCTTTTATTTAGTTTGTAAATATTGTAAAATACTCAATAAGATGTTATTCATATTTTGTTTAAATGTTTATTGAATTATTAATTACATGTCATAAAAATCTGTCTAAGCCTCATCCACTCCTGCATGGTCCATGTCTACAGGCTGAAACCCTGTGTAGAGCCCGCTTTGTTCAGGGTAGACCTGTCGGATTTAGTTGACAGCACAGGAAGGAATGACTCTGCAGACCAGCCGTGCATCCACTTTGCCGAATCTCTTTCAAATTGACTTTGTCATGCATTTTTGTATCCACTATTTTTTTTTAAAAAAAAATATCCCTTCATAGGTCTTTAAGTCTAGGTAACAAACAGGAGACCTATTTTCCTCCAAGTAGTTTCTTCAATCCAGGAAACAATGAATAGATGTCATACTTAGGAAAAAATATGCTGCCATTCCCTGTATAAACGTTCTTTACCAAAAGTGAAAAATTTTTTCTTTCTAGGAGTGGAAGAGACCGTAATATCTACTGTTTACATTAGGTCATGTAGATGACCATAAGAAATGCTTGGCACATGTCCACCACAGAGTGCGGTTGATCGATTTGGAGACTAAAAAGCGGGCGTGGACAAAAGAAATTAGTTGAATGGACCTGAAGTACTACTCAAGGCCCTGTTTTATACTAGACGCTGCCAGAACGTTTTCCAGGCTAATTAACAGAAACAACCTGGCTCCTAATCAATTTCTCAGTGTTCACATGAGGTTGAAAAACGATGTAGTTCTAGCGCCCTCCAGTAGGGCAGAGAAACGTTACAACACTCACATCGACCCCCAGCCCAATGCCCAGCCCACCCGCTCGGTAGTATACTCACTTCCTGGCCAACCTCCGAATGCAACCAACAGCATTCTGCATTTTATCTGCAGCTGTAAAATGAAAACGAACTAGAGCGTTCGTCTTGGTCTCGTTTTGACAACGAGGTGTAGTATTATCCTCTGTGCCGCCTGGAAGCCCACGTAGCTAGTTTGTGTGCGCGGCGCCATTTGTTGATGTTTGTTCTCCCGCTACTGCGCATGTCCAAATTTACGTGCGGGGAGCACGGGGAGGCGGGGGGTCAAGCAAGGGGTTTTCACACCTATTCCCCTCTCGCGGGTGTTGAAAAGAGCTCCCCGCTGTGCAGCGTGTTCTGAGTTGTTCCCACGCTGCAGGCTGGATCTGACACTTACATTTTCACCCCTCCTGAAACCACAGTCTCGGTGAACGTTGGTAGAAACCGACATCCAACTATACCGTTTTAAAACTGCCCACATTGTCTCCGGTTAACTCAGCCTAATGCTATCCAAAACTACTAAAGCATGAAAAATGCAAGGTTGCTCTTTAAAATGTGAATATGTTTGTTTGCCTTAAAGGTATGAAGGAGGATCCGCCCCTCTCTGTGTTTGAACAAAACCTCTGGTCGTTATTTGCATCACACAGAATGAATGACATTTGGAAGGACAAATTGTCTTGATGATCCACCCGGAAGTAAAAATCCGTTATATTGTTCTACTTCCGGGAAATCAGTCATTTTCAGAAAACTTCAGTTTTAAAGGTATAGCATCCTTTAAAAACTGAAGATATTCTAAAATGGCTATTATATCGATTCACATCTTTAGATTTTCTTTTTTATAGAAACAAATTGGTCGAACACTCATGATATGGACAACTAGAATGCCATTGAGCAAATAATATTCAAACATGTCCGAGCACAAAACAGCAAGTTCATAAAAGACTACCTGAACAGCTGACTATCAAAAACTGTTTATGTTTTGGTCCATAGAGATTTACACCGTTCACACAAGACTTGTTTCCAAGGGTGAAAATGTTTTAAAAAATGTTCAGAGCCAGCCGGCTAGTGGGACTACTCAAGAAACGCTGCACAGCGGGAGCTCTTTCACACCCGCGAGAGGGGATAGGTGTGAAATCCCCCTCTTCTCTGACCCCCGCCTCCACTGCTTGCTCCCCGCACGTATATTTGGACATGCCGCAGTAGCGGAGAACAAACATCAACAACAATGGCGCCTGGCGCACAACAAACTAGCTACGTTGGCTTCCTGCGCGGCAACAGAGATTATTCTTACACCTTTCGTTTCGTCCAAGACGAGAACCACGCGAAAGCTCTAGGTTCAGTTTACCATTGTCACAGCTGCTGTTAAAATGCAGAATGATTTTGGTGCACTTCTGAGGGTCTGCACAGGAAGTGAGATACTACCGTGAGGGGGCCTTGGGCATGTGGCTGGGGTCGTTAGTGTTGTAAAAAGTTTCTCTGCCCACTACTGGCCTGGGCGCTAGAACTACATCTTTTTCAACACCTCATGTGAACACTGAGAAATTTGCATTAGGTTCAAGGTTGTTTCTGTGAATAGGCCCCTGGACTCGTCCTGCGCAGCGTCTCCAGTATAAACAGGCCTTCGAGTAGTTACTTCATTCCATCCACTAATTTTCTTTTTGTCACTCCGCTTGTGAGTCTCCAAATCGATCAACCTCACATCTGTGTGGACCTGTGGTCAAGCATTTCTATGTCATCTACAGCCCTAATGTAAACAGTAGCATATTCGGTCTCTTCCTCAAATCCTAGAAAAAAATATTTACTTGTGGTAAAGAAAGTTTCATTACAGGGAATGCAGGCATATTTTTTTCCTAGTATGACATTATTCATTGGTTTCCGGATTGAAGAAACTTACTTGAAAACATAGGTCCCTGTTGTACGTAGAAATTAAAAGACGCCTTATGGACGGGTTTTTTTTTAAAAAAATAGTGGATATCAAAATTGCATG